CCTGGGACCGTCACAGTCCCAGGCGGGTGTGAGCCGGCGGCCAAAAAGCTGGCGGGCCAGGGGACTCCCAGAAGTATGCTGCACGCGTTCAAGGGAGTCCCTCAACATCGGCCAACGCAGGACACCCGCAGTGGTTTTAGTGGGTATTCCCCCTTGGTTGGGGGTGAGTCCAACATAACACGGCTCCCCTCCACCGGGGGGACCCGGGTATGCGTAATGCATTTCCACTGCGATATAAAAAAAAAGACTGTCCTCAAAGTATACAATGCCTACAGGAAATGTCTCTAAATTATGCAATAGACATAACTGAAGGAAATGTCTCCAAATTATACAATACCTGTATGAATGTCTCCAAATTATACAATGCCTGTATGAATTTCCTCAAATTATACAATACCTATATGAATGTCCTCAAATTATACAATACGTGTATGAATGTCTCCAAATTATACAATACCTGTATGAATGTCTCCAAATTATACAATACCGGTATGAATGTTCTCAAATTTTACAATATCTGTATGAATGTCCTCAAATAATCAATACCTGTATGAATGTCTCCAAATTATACAATGAGTGTGCCACAAGGAAATGTCCTCAAATTAAACATTATACTGCAACACTGATATATTTTATAAGTCGGCAAAATAAGTTTGGTGACTTTAAGGTTCATTTTGTACAATTAATACAATATATGATCGCAAATATGTAATAATTTTTGCTGAACGTATCTCTTAAATATATATAATACAGTCGTTTGATTGCAACAGTTGACGTTTTGTTCGTCTTATTTTTTTTCCGTTCTATCTTACATGACCGAAACATCTTTAAAAAAACCAAAAGTGAAATATAAATGTAGAAAGTATTACGTTTTTGGTGATAATTACCTCCATAGCATAAGAATTAATTGCGCCAAATTAGCATCAAATTATTAAACTCGATCAAATTTTCACTACAAAACTGTAACCATCTGTGTCCGCACTTAACTATTTGTCGACAAAGCCTACTGATGGACTATGCCAGAAGGTTGGTGACAGAAACCAAGCACAGTCTGCTCGAATCAGATTCTGCTCTCAATCTGCTATCATTCTACTGTCAGGTTATGTAGAACTTAATTAGATTTCTACCACCAATCTACTGGCATACCATGTTTAGGAGACTTTATATTTCCGACAGCAATTTGCTGATAATGTCAGATAATACAAAGTGTACAATTTGCTGCCTTTCTGCAATCAAAAATTGGTAGCAGATTCTATTCAAAATTTGTCTCTGTAGGCAGTGCTATCAGGGTATGTTATGATTTTTAAGCATTTTAGATTTTATTTTATAAAAATTAAATTAAATACATAAATTTTCTAAGCTCAAGATTGCTAAGCAAATAAATGTGAATAGAAAGGTCAAAAAACACGAGCACATTTATTGAACCTTGAAATTTGAACTAGTTTATTAAATCATACATTAAAACTTGAACTAGTTTTTTCATCAATAAAATCATAGGAACATTTCAACTATACTTAGTCTTCATCAACCCGATTAATAAGAAAAGAAATCATAATATTTGTTCCTATATATTTTTTAATTACATTGCACTATAACGCTCGAACAGGTGCAAGGATTATTAATAAAATCATAGGAACATTTCGACTATACTTAGTCTTTGTTCACGTTGATATTGCTTTCTTTCTATGGTTTGAAAATCGCGTTACCGTTTCGTGTTCACCTGACAATCAGGGTAGCAACCAGTTGCCGATATAGCCGCTAGGCGACGTGGCGCTCACCGGCGCTGCCGACGCGACTAGGACTCGCGGCCTCTCTCAATAAATATATTACCGGTTATCGTATCGAGCAAGCGTTATCGTATCGAGCAAGCGTTATTGTATCGACCAAGCGTTATCGTATCGAGCAAGCATTATTGTATCGAGCAAGCGTTATAAATAAAGTTATTACAGTCCGCTTAAAAGAAGTACGCAATTCTTCACCCAAACACAAACATAAAATTGGTCCTTCGAGCCGGATTCCGGGATCAAAAGGCTAGAGCAAGCATTATCGAGTTCAGTTCGATATTGACGATCAAAGACAAACGTGCAATAAACGACAATCAAGATGTCGTCAGAAGTTATCGCTGGATTACGCAAGGCACGAGGCTACGTAAAGGCGTAGCTCTCCCGACTGAGGACGCATACATTGCAGATTATCCAGGAGGAGGGTGAAATTAGTCGAGAGCATGCAGAAGCTAGGTTAGACAAACTAGAAGAAATTTATCGAGGTTTCGAAGCTATTCAAAGGCAGTTGTTAGACCAGGTAAGCGAGTTGAGCGAGGACGATGCGCGAGATGAGGAAGCTTTCGAGGAAATATACTACGAGGTAAAGATTTTGCTTAAGAAAAGCGCAAAGATGCCACCGCAAGGCGTCGAGGCAGATAGTTCGGGCGCAATCGTGCAATTGTTGCAACATCAAGCCGAGTTGATACAACAGCTACGCGGTTCGCGAAATGACGTGTCGGCCATGACACCCCCAACGGAAAATGACGCGTTGGCGGCTATACTTTCGCGGCAGACAGAGATTCTTGATCGAGTATCTATAGCGTCGGGTTTCACGAATGTAGATTCTAGAATCAAATTGCCAGTTATCAAGTTGCCGCATTTTGATGGCAAAATCGAAGAATGGAAACGCTTTTCCGACAGCTTCCGTTCCATTATACATGAAAGGTCTCAGTTATCCACTATCGAAAAGTTTCAATATTTAACTTCATCCATTTCGGGCGATGCCGCGAAAATCATAGAGTCAATAGAGTTGACGAGTCAGAATTACGCTGCGGCATGGGAATTGCTACAGCAGCGTTATGACGATCCGAGATCATTAAAGAAAAGGCACATACAGTGTCTGTTCACAATGCCTGCGGTATCGAAAGAGTCGGCGAAGGCTCTGCGGGAACTAACCGATTACACTTCTAGACATCTACGAGTTTTGAAGGTGCTAGGCTCCCCCACGGAGACATGGGACGAACTCATCATGCACATGTTGGAAGCCAAGTTCGACATAAGGACACTCAGAGCTTGGGAAGAAGAGATTAAGTCGAACGAAAACGTCAAGCTAGATGACATGCTAAGTTTCTTAAGGAATAGGTGTCAAACACTAGAGCGAATTGAGTCCAGAAACGTTGACAAAACAGAAAAGCCCTCCAAGGAAGGTGAGCAACGTGGCAAGGCAAACTCTGCAACAGGGCTAAAAAATAAAAAGGCCGCTCTTGCAACCTCTTTCTCTTCAGGTAAGTGCTACCTTTGTAATGGAAACCATTACTTATATTCTTGCGAGCAGTTTCTAGCATTATCGGTGGTTGACCGAATCAAGGAGGTCAAACGTTTGAAGTTGTGCTCAAATTGCCTGAGAAATGACCATTACGTCAAAACATGCAAGATGGGGCATTGTCGAAAATGTACTCAGAAGCACAACACATTGTGCCACACGTCTAAGGAGGATCAGATATCTCCGGCCAAGTCAGGTGGATCGGAATCTTTAGCCAAGGCTGGTTCCGAGCAGCCGGTCAACAATGTATCGGTTCATCATTCATCCAAAAAATCGAGTAATCGTCAAGTGCTCTTGGCAACAGCCGTTGTAAAGGGAACCCGCAGCAACGGTTCTAATATAATGCTACGTGCACTGTTAGATAGTGCTAGCGAAGCCAATTTTATTACACAAGCAGCGCACAACCGATTAGGTTTAAGGCGAAACAATATTTCAGGAACTGTTACGGGTTTGAATGGGGTAGAGAACAAAATCTACAGCATTTGCGATGTACACGTCAAGTCAAGGTGTTCTGAATTTGAATTCAACACTCAGTTTCTAATTATTCCTAGAATTACTAAAAACCTGCCATCCGCGGAAATGGATTATCAACGAATTCAAATTCCTGGAAATCTTGAACTGGCAGACCCCGAGTTCTTTAAGAGTAGTCCGATAGACATGTTAATCGGAGCTGAATACTTTTTTTTGACTTGCTAGAAAAGGGTAGAATCGAAATTGATAACGATCGATTGACTCTACAAAACACTAAATTTGGTTGGTTAGTGGTCGGTTCAATACCATCCGCGGTCACGAATTTTCAAGTTTACAAACGAAATGCATTAACCGTAATGACCTGTTCACTAGGTTCCACGGATTCATTAGACAAGAATATAGAAAACTTTTGGAAGTTAGAAAGTTACGACAATGACAAGGCGCAAAAACTATCAGTAGGCGAAAAATATTGCGAACAATATTTTGAGCAGACTACTAATCGAACCAACGATGGAAGATTCATAGTTAGATTACCATTTCGCGAAAAAAACCTTCCTATTGGCAATAACAAGGAAATCGCGTTGAAAAGATTGTATCAGCTAGAGCGCAGGTTCAAGGGTGACGAAGCCTTTCGCAAGCAATACCTTAAATTCATGTCCGAATACGTCGAGTTAAATCATATGTCGATCGTGAATAAATCAATTCAAGATTCACGACCCATAGTATATCTCCCTCATCATGGAGTTTTCAAAGATAACATTAATAATACCAAACTTCGCGTCGTTTTTGATGCGTCAGCGAAAAATAACCAAGGTGTATCTTTGAATGATGCACTTCTCATTGGTCCCGTATTGCAGGACAATTTAATTGATATAGTTTTGAGATTCAGATTCTATAAGGTAGCTATTACAGCGGATTTGCAAAAAATGTACCGTCAAGTATTGGTACACCATGATGAAAGAGAGTTTCAACGTATCTTATGGCGATTTTCACCCGACGAGCCTGTACAGGAATATCATTTGAATACTGTTACATACGGACAATCCTGTGCGTCATATTTAGCTATAAGATGTCTGAGACAACTCGCTTCAGTAGAACTGGAGCATCATCCGCTAGCGGCTCGTTCATTGTTGAATGACACTTATGTGGACGATATAATCACAGGAGCAGACACGATCGAGGATGCATGTATTTTGCAAGGGCAATTGATATCTTTATTAGCCAAGGGGTGCTTCGAGGCACACAAGTGGTGCTCGAACGCAGTAGAAGCATTGGACGGTGTACCCGCGAATTTGCGTGAATTCAACACAAATTTGAGTCTCAGCAATAGCGACGTCACCAGAACGCTAGGCCTTGAATGGAATCCGGTGTCCGACGAGCTTCAGTTCACTGTACAGTCATTGGAAGATGCATCCTCGAAGCGTGCCGTGCTTTCGGTTATAAGCAAATTATTCGATCCGTTAGGATTAGTTGGTCCCGTTATGACCACAGCCAAAATTTTGATGCAGGGATTGTGGGAAATAAAAACAGGTTGGGACGATCCCCTTCCTGATGCGTTTTTAAATAAATGGCGAACCTTTCAGCAAAGTTTGATGGATGTAAACTTGATACGGATTCCACGTATAGTCACTAATATATCAAAGGCGGGCCGAGTCATTGTACACGGGTTTTGCGATGCGTCCGAAAACGCATACGGTGCTTGCATTTACATACAATGGAAAGGCGATACTTCCGACGAAATATCGGTTGGCTTATTATGTTCCAAGGCAAAGGTTGCTCCCCTGAAAAAGCAATCTATACCGCGATTAGAGCTATGCAGTGCTTTGTTATTATCAAAATTAATTGTCAACGTGAAACAAGCCATACAGGTAAAGGTAGTTGAAACACACGCTTGGTGTGACTCGATGGTCGTGCTATATTGGATACGTGGAGATGCTTCGCGTTGGAAATCCTTCGTCTCCAACCGCGTGACCAAAATTGTCGACAACCTGCCTGCCGCCAATTGGAGGCACGTCAAGAGTTCCGAGAACCCGGCAGACTTGCTATCAAGAGGCGCCACACCTGTCAAGATAAGAGACAATCGGCTATGGTGGTACGGACCAAAATGGTTATCAGAATCACTGCGTCCAGCGCACGGCGAAGAACTCCATCCAAACGCTCTTGAAAGCGATATGGCTGATGCTGAAATCGAGGCGAAGGGGAGGTCTCATCTGTGCCATTTAAATATACAGCAATTTTCCCCGAATGAATCGCTTCACAGGCTCATTCAAGATTGTTCAACATTGACGAAAATAGAACGATCGCTCGCTTATTGCCTTCGTTTCCTCCACAACTGTCGTAAGGAACCACGCGACAGATTACGGACTAGACTAACTTTGCAAGAAATAAATGAATCCCGACGAATGATAATCAAGTACACTCAGAGTTTTTATTTCCAAGAGGAATTGGGAAATTTGCAAGGCCAAGGACAGATGAAAGCCTCAAACAAGCTATATCAGTTACATCCGTTCCTGGACGAAAACGGTATTTTACGAGTGGGTGGTCGTCTTCAAGAGGCGCCCTGGACCTTCGAAAGGAAACATCCTATTTTGCTGCCTGCAAAATGCAAGATTACCCGTTTAATCGTGGAAAGAGCACACCGTTTATTACTACACGCAAATCAGCAATTATTGTTGGCATCAATACGACAGCAATACTGGCCATTAAACGCCAGGAGCATAGTTCGTCAAGTTTGCCGGGCATGCATTTGGTGCGTCAGAAACAATCCTAAAGGGCTTACGCAAGCCATGGGACATCTGCCCAGCAACAGGATCAAGCCATCGCGTGCATTCTCTGTAACCGGAATCGACTATGCTGGTCCCATTATCACTCTACTCAACAAAGGTCGAGGCAAGAAAACATGCAAATCATATGTGGCTTTGTTCGTTTGCTTCGCCACAAAGGCGATACATTTGGAAGTAGTGAGTGAACTATCAACAGCGGCATCCATAGCCACACTGCGTAGATTTGTTGGGCGTCGCGGAGTCCCACGCAAAATTTGTAGCGACAACGCCACGAACTTTGTCGGCGCTAAAAGGGAGTTAGAAGAGATATACTCTTTTGTCCGCTCGTCTATCAATGGTCCAGCCAATGATACGTTGCTAGAATTGGGTATTGAATGGAGCTTCATTCCACCGTATTCTCCGCACTTAGGAGGCCTCTGGGAAGCCGGAGTCAAAACATGCAAATATCATTTGAAACGAGTAATGGGCAACAATCTGCTCACGTTCGAGGAGCTATCCACTGTTTTAATCCAGATTGAAGCTTGTCTAAATTCCCGGCCATTAGCCCCGCTGTCCGCGGATCCTTTGGACCTCCAACCATTAACCCCAGGTCACTTTCTCACGGGCGCGCCATTGACAAGCATACCAGAAGTTGATTTGTCGAACATTCGAATCAATCGTCTCGATCGATGGGAAGCAGTACAGCGCACGGTTCAAGATTTTTGGAAACGGTGGGCGGCTGAGTATGTGGCCAACCTTCAAGGCCGTGTTAAGTGGAAAACCCGCCAAGAAAACCTCAAGGAAAACGATCTTGTGTTACTACAAGAAGATAATCTTCCATCCCTCAAGTGGCGAATGGGTCGAGTAAGCCAGATCCATGCTGGCAAGGATGGACTGGTGAGAGTTGTTACAGTTCGCACCGCCAACGGTCTAATCAAGAGATCAATCGCCAAACTTTGCAAACTACCGATGGACGAAAAATCGAACAAGAAAGATTAGCTACCTAATCTTGGTGGGCGGTATGTTCACGTTGATATTGCTTTTTTTCTATGGTTTGAAAATCGCGTTACCGTTTCGTGTTCACCTGACAATCAGGGTAGCAACCAGTTGCCAATATAGCCGCTAGGCGACGTGGCTCTCTCCGGCGCTGCCGACGCGACTAGGACTCGCGGCCTCTCTCAATAAATATATTACCGGTTATCGTATCCAGCAAGCGTTATTGTATCGAGCAAGCGTTATCGTATCGAGCAAGCATTATTGTATCGAGCAAGCGTTATAAATAAAGTTATTACAGTTCGCTTAAAAGAAGTACGCAATTCTTCACCCAAACACAAACAGTCTTCATCAACTGGATTAATAAGAAAAGAAATCATAATATTTGTTCATATATATTTTTTAATTACATTGCACTTTAATGCTTAAACAGGTGGAAGGAGTAGGAAAAAGTAGAAGAAGGGACAGATCTGTATTCAGTGACAAAAAATATATCAAAAAAAACGAGCCTCAAAGAGGCCGAAGAGGGAGTAGCTAATTTAAATTTCATTAACTTGTAATATCAACTCTAATTGTTAATTACTTTTTAATAAATAACGAGTGACGATTGAAATCTTCTGAATATTACTCATAATCATGATCTTAACGTATGTCAAGGTCGAGATCGTCGAAGTCTGTCCTTCAAGGATATAATTTTCTACACAAATTACATTTTAATCCTAAACATTTTAACAACTATAAATGTATTTTTGCATTTATGAATTACTTTTTATGAAAATATTTCTTTGTAACAATTATTGCACATAAGCATGATTTGAGCACACATAAAATATTAAACAAATGGTTTAAGAACAGTCTTCAAGCCATGCTTTTTATCTTTACGACGGATATTTTTACCTCAAAGCATGCGTTTGAAATTGAGGTCATCCTCATATTAAACACATACTTTAAAACTAATAATATATATACCGATTTTCACATATGGTGTATAGTTCAAGGACTAATGTAAACGAATATTTCAAGGATAATACTCAAAACTATATAACTTTATAACATGTACGACGGAAAATTTACATTGTCTTCAAAGCATGCATTTGAAATAAACCATTCTTGTATTAAACATATACTTTGAGACCAACATTATAAAATGTTTATATATGATGCATATTTCGTGTATTATTGTTATTAAACGAAGATAGTATCTAAACTATACAGGGTAGAGGGAACAAAAACAGAAATCTTGAAATACCTCGAAACATACCAATGTCACAGAAAATTGTTTCCGATAAAACTTGCAGGACTTAAAATGATCTATGAACTGATATTGTCAGTTTGATTTTTAACAAGATATTTAATATTTCGTACACTGAAAGAAAAGATTGGCTGCTGCAGAATATTATATGGTGAAATATGGCATAATATTTTCTATTGGTTGCAACTGCCAATTTTTGGTTGCTACAGCCAATTGTTGGTTGTGTTAGCTTATACGCAATGTCAGTATAGGATTTCCATTAGCTAACGTAACTAAAAATTGGTTGCTGCAGTCAATTAAAAATGCTTTGGCATATTTAACCTAATTTGCTACAGCAACCAATCTTTTTTTTCAGTGTATTACAGAAACAACGATACATTTTTTAATATTTTAGAAATGTTTGAACCAAAATGATATTTATTACACATCTAGCGCTAAGAAAACGTTTCGACAAGCGTTATAAAAATGCGCAATAAGCAATGAAACTCCATTACAGAGATTAGGTAACATTGACACTAACGATGCTGTTA